CCCCCCCCCCCCGAAAGAAGTTATTCATTTCCCCCTGACTTGTCCTGCGTTATCGCATTATGCCCTATTGACCTTCGAAGCTGATTACGGAATTTAAACTCTATCATTTGATTGGTACGATACTGATCTGCTGTCTGCACTGATTGGTTATTGGTCAAATTGATGATATCGGATGCTGCGGGAAATTGTATTGGAGAGAAAGAGAGAGAGAGAGAGAAAGAGAGAGAGAGAGAGTTCATTAAGATTTTTGGTATCGAATTCAAGAGAGAAAAGAAGATAAATGTGTTTTTTGGACTATTTTTTAAAATTTATTCCAAAATCAATCCTACCGACTCTCGAATGTCTGGTTCGTTTAAATGAGCGGATGTTCACATTGTTCTTATCGGTCGATAACGAAGAGTCCATTGAAAGGATTCTCTTGGGTAAAGCGGCACGAGAGATGAAACAGACTTTTTATTTTTATCGATGCTTGAGTGCAATGCCAGCGTAGTGAGGTAGAATACCAGTATGGCGAAATGACACAAAGTGGCCATTAGCAGATCTTACACATGGAAGAGACTTTTCTATCCGAGCTTTCATTTCCGGTCCATTTCGGATGCTACGACACGTCCGGAAGTTCGTTTCTCTCTTGGGACTGAAGAGGATAAAGAAATATAATAAAATTTTAACTGCATGACTAACAGGGTAAAATCAGCATGGAGTACCTGCTAAATAAAAATGAATGGCTAGGAAATAATTAAATTGAGAATATGTAATGACTACGAGCTTTTGTGAATTTAATCAAATTAATTTTAGAACCTAGACGCGCTTCACGATCATCTTGGTACTTTGTATCCGGGTATGAGGTCCCCGTCTTTTCGTTGTACCGAAAGGCCCGAAGATGGGGCCCTTGTTTTGCACTATTACTCCGACAGGCCCGGATTGGAGCACATAGTCATAGGAATTGTGAAGGTAGATATCTAATCTTATGATAAAAAAAAATAATAATTAATTAATACTTTAATTAAAATCCTCCACAGACCGTAGCTAAGAAACTTCACGGTACTGATGTCGATATGCAGATCTTAAAGACAAAGAGCGAGTGCGATCACGTGCAGTTTCTAATTACCGACACCTCGGGTCCTGGGGTCGTTTTCAAGCCTATGATCGCCGAACTGGAAACGCTGTCATTAGGTAAGTCACTCGAGTAGCCTTTGGCTTGTATCGATCGATTCTCGACAAACTATATAATTAGTCATTTGAGTTTGTCATATTCACCGGGAAAAATCACAAGAGACTTCGCGGCAAAATATTTTCCGTTTATTACATAACAATAGGTCAGATCTTGTTGGGCTTCGGTTCACGTATTTTGCCTTCTTTTATTTTTATTCTCATCACTACCAGGAAATGCATATATATATTGTATATATATGTACGAGTCCATTAGGAGAACCAAGGGGAATGCCTTACTAATTCTCCTAATACAGATTACAGTATGTCTATATACAATGCAGAACTAGAATCACTATATATATATATATACAAAAGAAATAAGAACTCTGTCGCAATTTTCTTGAGAAAGGTCGTAATGTCCTGGACATTTGATATTGATTGCTACAGAATCGAAGGTCAGTCCGGCAACTTTCTGCAGAGTGTTCCCGTTCCACATAATGTTCAATCGTGAACTGACGATCGTGCAAACCGGATGTACGATAACTCGCGTCATACCGCAAGTATCCAATGGCAACTGTAAATTGAATGACATTCTTCTCACGGTAAGTCAAACACACCAGTCATTGATCGATTATCGGAAGTCGAGATTACGTTTCCATTTCGTAACATTTACTGCAGTATACCGAGTACTCGCTAGGTTGACTTTTACGTTCAGGGGACTTCTTTATATTGAAAGTCGTAAGGAGATGGCCCCTTTACAGATGATCTGACGTCACAGGTCTTTATACGCACCATCTAATATCGAATGACAATTTATTAGGGATTTAACAAAGTCTAGCAATCGATAGTTCTCTAGAATTTTTCAAAAATTATTTATAACTTTATAATCATTAAAGTCCTTTAGATTCTTTATTGATGAATTAACAATTATTCGTATGACACGAAAAACACGTGCATCGTTTACCACGTGGCTTTCTTATCCATCTGTCAAATCCAACCTAACCTAACGTCAAACTGAACCGTCCTTTAAAAGAATGCTAAACCGTGATAAAATTATCAGCAGGTAGCCAGATATCCTTGGGCTTGGCGGCCGTCTCGAAATTCTTTATTCGACCGTAGATAAATAATCGCCGCACGTACATAAAAGTTAAATCTGGCAGAAATCCTCGCAGTCGGAAAGGGGAAAACTTGAAGAACTTTTATCGATAGGTTCACAACGCCGTGAACGGGGTTGAACGAGAAAATTTTTGGTAACGACTGTACCATACCATACTTGTAGAACGGGATTGAAATTTTCAAGATGGCTTATGATGAATTAACACGTCCCCTTATATATATTCTATGAATATTATCAAACCAGGATCCTCCTACTGATTATAACTTTCAGGCTGAATATCGTAAAAGGAAATTCGCCTAACCCGATCCCTCCTACCTTTGCCAAGGGCGCGTCCGCAACATTTCTCTAGCATCTTGTGTTTGTCTATCCTTGTACGATGACGCCGACGCCAACGCCGATAATGACGGCATCGTTCTCCACCTTCTCATAAATATTCACGAGATTCATAATTCAAACAAAATGTGTTAATTATCATTTAGGACCAAGCGGTTTAATCGCAATGGATCATATATATATATATAAATGTATAGGCAATCGTATACACAACACCCAATTGAGATTTATCTTAATGCATGTACACATATATATATAGCTTATTTTATTGATCATGAATTTTGTATCGATAACAGTTTACAAGATCAATTGACGTGATAATAATTAAAAGTCAAATGATTATACAGAATTCAATAGATTAATCTCGATGGTTAATTCATTCGGATAACGTTTTCATGTCGTGCCAAAAAAAAATGAACTTTATACATTGGCAAATATGCACCGTTGGGTATTTTCAAAATTTCTCATTCATATTAATGGCAATTTGAATTTATTCATTACAAATATTTAAATCGTACCTGCGTCTATTTTTTTTCTTGTTGATAATTTTCAATACACAATATACGCCCGCATGCTGTATACGGTTTTTGCTAAATATGGATTGCAGACAAAAAAGGGTCTGAATCGTAATTATAAATTATTTTTCTAATTCTTATCTACCGATATTTAATCTTGTATAGGAGAGTCGTGAAGGGGGTTAATTGCCGTTGTATAAAAAAACTGTATTGTTAACCTGATCCAGGCTCATCCTCTCCATCCTCGTGCTTTAAACGTGCAGGTAATGAAATATTGACACGGTTACCGAATACAGTCGTTCGCGCAAATTAAAACCGGTCGATCGATTAAATGGCAATTATTAATCCACATAATTCGCAGGACAGTGATCGCCCGTTTCACGAGTCATTTCGTACTCTACTGTTACGTCACTGACAGACCGATTATATCTCTACGTTTTTGATAGATGTTTTACACGATGCGTATTATTGCTCGCGTCTCGAGCATCGATCGTATTACGGACACCCGTTATATCGCTACAGAACGATCGCTATTCCACGTTAAATTGAAAACGCGTGCATTCTGTCCAATACGAAAATTTATACGTTACATTGAAATTGTCTATAAAGATATTGACGATCGATAACGAAATTCTACTTATTGCCATAGGTGAGGCCTCACTTGGAATTGACGTTTGAAAATATTCTGTCGCACATAAACACCGTTTACGTTTTACGTACTAAAAAGGGTGTGATGAAAGTCGACGCTTGCGACGAGTACTCAAATTTACGTTTAAAGGTGAGTATCCATGAAAAGTCTCGCCGCAATAATTATCTAGTACAAAAAGTTGGCCAGCATGGAAAAATCTTTTAATAATTAACCCAGGTAATACGAACTATCCAAAATTTATCCTTAGTACCTTTAACGTAAAAAAAAAAGTTGTATTTTAGGTATTTGAAAAATAAGTAAGATTTAGGTGTCGTCTGGTAATACAAGTAATTTCTTTAATTCTCGTACAAAAAGTTGCAACACTGGACAATAGTGAAAATGAACGTTTCAAAAATGTTTTTTTTTCTCTTATCAAATAAATATTATCTTACCTTTCCATCTTCTGTATGATTTCAGGGTCAAATGCTGTACATACCCGAATCAGACTTGGTAATATTCCTATGTTACCCGAGCGTGATGAATCTCGACGACCTCACGAGGTAACATTAAAACCATCCTAAACGCGAGAAGGCAATATTCATAAACCGAACATTGTCTTTATGATTTATTCATTTTTACGCGCTTATTCAAATTTCAAGATCGAAATTATAAAACCCGTTAACACTCGAGTCCAAAATCTCTGTACCACGTCTCTTAACGTTACTCTCTGGTAATTATCTGCCGTTCCCAGGTGGAATTTCATCTGAGCTTAAATTACCTTTATACATGCCTACGTGCCTGCTTTGCGTTGCTTGACGTATGGCGCGAATGGCTGTTTCATTTGAATTTCAAAGCTCACGTGAAATATCTGCCATTATGCAAATTACCTTCCATCATTCAGATGCCATCGGTACCAAAAGGGCTTCGTTCGTAAGGAATTTTGCAAATATGACGTCATGTCGGAAGAGAACTCTTTTCAAATACCTTTAAAACGTATCAAACAATGCAAACTCGAATCGATGAAAAAGTGAAAATTTTTAATATAAAAAAATTGCATTTTTCCACATATCCATGACTTACTCTATGTCGTGCATGGTAAACCATTGGTATGGACGTTCAAAATAAAAATGCCATTCAATATTACGTAGTCTCGTGTGGGATTGTTGTGGGACCTTTTTTTTTTAATCAATAGTATAATCGATACTAATTTATACAGTATTTAATAACTGTTAAACAGTCAATCCAATTTTTTGTTCAACCTGTACTCATACGTCAATTTGTTAAACGGTATCTAAACGCATGCTACACATGATGCATATGACGTACACAGTAGGTCATGTGTATGTTATGCATGCACGAGCTAACGCGAATCCTATTCGAGTGAAACAACGGGTAATTTCATCAATGTCTACGATTAGTACAGTCAATTTCAGGATCATTTCCGTTATATTCGGCGGGACGGCAAGTTCGTTAAACCAAAAGTGGGTAGTGGATAGTCAGTAAACATATTTAGCGTTTAAGTGAATCAGTCGACGCTACAGTAGCACTTGGTTGGGTTAACTTTCATTTGTAACTAAATATGCTATAGAACGCTTGTTCTCCTAATAATTAAATTTCCATAATTACTTTAAACACCGTTCGCCTCTCTGAGAATAATTCTACTTTGATTAGTTAATAGCAATTTACACTTTTTCTTATGTCAGACGTACGAATATACGGATATACCAGGCGCATATATTTCTGAGAATATCGGTAATTCAATATATTCCTTTTTCTTCTTCCGGACTGTACCTCAGGCGCGGTTTGTATTTGAGCGACGTTCCCTTGCACGACGCGACGAGAGACTTGGTTCTGATGTCCGAGCAATTTGAGGCCGATTACAAGCTCACGCGAAATTTGGAATTGCTCACTGACAAGCTACAGCAGACTTATCGGGAGCTGGATGGGGAGAAGCAAAAAACGGACAGGTAATTGCAGAAATCCTCCTTACCATCCGAGATTGTGCGAACAGTGCTTTCGATCGATATGCAGTAGTTTCAAGTAATTGAATATCTTAGTATATCGTCTTCCCTGACTGTCAAGAAAAAAAAAAGAACAAAGTACAAATTACAAGAAAATCGTGTTTAATCGTAAACACAGTATTCGTATGGGTAATCAAAGTAATATTTTATTATCATCGACAGATTACTTTATTCCGTACTGCCGATTTCCGTGGCTAACGAACTCAGACACTCGAGACCGGTACCGGCGAGGAAGTACGATTGCGTAACTCTTCTATTCTCGGGTATCGTCGGCTTTGCCGCTTACTGCGCAGCGCACACGGATTCCAGCGGCGCCATGAAAATCGTGAATATGCTTAATCAGTTGTACATAGCATTCGACGTGCTTACGGATCCGAAAAAAAATCCAAACGTCTACAAGGTACCTATTGTGCGCATACCTTAATGATTGGAAACAAAGATAACGTCATACCGAACCATCATTTACCATACTCAGGTGGAAACTGTTGGCGACAAGTATATGGCAGTAAGTGGACTTCCGGAACCCTGTTATTGTCACGCAAGATGCATAGCTCGACTAGCATTGGACATGATGGATCTAGCAGCTGACGAAGTTCAGATCGATGGTGAACCAGTGGTAAGCATTTACCTGATTTTCATTAATCAAGTAGAGCCACCGAGAGCAACACTAGCGCCGTGCCTGAACTTGGTACTACGGTACCAAGTATTTGAATCCAGTCACACGATCTTGGAACAGTCTCATTTAAAATGACTCTTCTATCGTATGGCTCTTGTTCAATGCTATTAACCAAGAAGTTCTAATAAAATTAGCTATGCCCGTACCTCGTAAGAAGACTGAACGAACACTCTTTTTTTTACTTAATTTACAGAAAATTACCATCGGCATCCATAGTGGCGAGGTAGTCACGGGGGTTATTGGACATCGCATGCCTCGTTATTGCCTCTTTGGGAATACGGTGAACCTTACGAGCCGTACGGAAACGACCGGTGAACCTGGGAAGATTAACGTCTCCGAGGATGCATACAGGTAAGATTAATTAGGCTTAGATTAATAAATTTTAATTGGGCGATTTAATTAGGTCCTTAGATCCTTGATTCATTCCCATGCAAACTACATATCGTGTAGCTACCACGTTATACGTGCAGTGATAGGTCATATCGGTAATAAGTAAAATGAATATATGATAAAAGGATAATTTTAATATAATTTCATTCTTAGATATAGATATATATCGAAATTCAATTTTGCATTTATTCGTCCTCACGTTACCTCCAACGATTTGTTTCGGCTCAACGTGAAACCCGAACCATCCTTTTTACTTAAAACGCGTAAAAAACAAATTGAAGATTTTCTTAAGCGTTGTTTATTAATTTTTTCTTGTGCTGTGTCAAAGCGGAGGTATTATTTACTCGAGGGTATACGGCGTCGCGACGGCTGCGATAACACGGGAACTTTTATCAAATCTTTCTTCTCTACACTCGAGCTACTAGCGACTGTCGCCTTTGTTGAGAATCCAATAAATTGCTTGGCACGTAACTCACTTTATTGGTTCGTTAGTCAATATGACGAAGCCGAGTATCACACAATAAAATCGTACGTACTCGTTAATCGTATATGGCGATACAAATGGCGCGTGACTTTACGACTTGGGGGAATATCGCGTGCGAATTAAAATGAGTTACTACAGTGTTTCAATGGCGTATATATATATATATATATATATATATATATATATATATATATATATATATATATGTCGTTATTTATAGACGTATCCTATGAAATATCATGAACCGTCGTAACGCCATGAAATTTCATTGTCAGGGAGAAAAGTGAAGAGGGCTAATAAGTAATCCCTATCGAAGTTCAAGGATATCTCGAATCTGATAACACAACGGAACGACGTCATTCGAAATTTTATTACGAATTTCGCGGGTTTACGATAGGCGTCGTGCCAAAGTGCGAGACGCATGGAACAACGAATATATAGTAATAACGAATATATATATTCAGTTATTACCACGGTGTATGATATATATATGTATAGTATATATCACGTGCGCGTATCCATAAAACGGAGGTTTATTGTCTTTGATATTGTTCGAGTCGCCTAAAAGATTTGCGACACCCTTAATGTAAAAAGTATCTCTTATTTATACATATTTCTAACATACGCTTTTTTCCGTCTCGTCGTAAACAGTAAAAAAATATCTGTTTCAATTAATCAAACTTTAATTAAAATGACTCTAGACAATATTCAGTCTCGTGCAACGATCAATCGGACGGATCCGAAGGATTGATCATCAGTCCCGTAAAAGGTCCAAGTAACTCATCAGGGATTCCGGAATCTGCAGGCTCTTGATCCCGTGAGGTAGAGCCCAGTTTTGAAATAGACTCTCGCGAATTCGACAGCGGCACAAGTGCCTAAGTTCAGGGGGTACCAAACCGCTCCTCTCAGGTGGCACCAGGTTCTGTTCCACGAGCGTTGGGTACTGTTCGTATAGCGGAAGACGGTAGACTCCACTCTGATCGGCCACGTGATCTGGTGTTTTGACCATAACGGTTGGTACAGTGCGCAGCAAAAGTTTCAAACAGATCAATAAGTGTTCCGGATAGAGATGAGACGCTGTGTTACCACCCGCGGTGTTTTCGTACTCGGTCAATCTCGATAAGAGTATCTCTATAGGAGATGGCGCTAGCTTGTCAGCATCCGTGGATGCACCGTAGCGCAGCATTATCAGAAGAATATCCGGTGCGCCATGTTGAATTGCTACCCTCAGTGGTGCCACTTGACCATAAGACTCCATTGGGACGTCGATGAAACGTCTGACTATGTTCGTTGACTGACAGCGATATTCTAATTTGCCTGCAGCTGCATGGTCCATGAAGTATACCAGTGCACGAAGATTTTCATCCCGGTCGTCAAAGTCGCACTTCCATCCAGACAGGAAGTGCGTCACTCTTGTACCAAATATCGCACCTACGAATATCCTCTCGAACGTCTTCTCGCAATAGAACATATCGTTCAGCAATCCGGATACGATTTCATTGTTTCTCAATTTCCAGTCGAAGCACAATTTCGCTGCTACGTACAGAACGTTGTGAAACTTTCCTAATAGACAGACCGACCCGTTTTCCACCAGCGTTATGTTGTGATAACGCAGTGCTGCCAATACGATTCTCTCGCACACGTCTTCCCTCTCGAGATTTTCGGCTGGAAGATAACATTTTTTTTTATTTTATTTTTTTTTTCTCTATTTTTTACCCTGTCGCGTAAGCCAAATTTTGAAATACTTGAAAAATTTTATTTGTCCGTACGTCACACCACGTGGTTCTATCGCTAGCTGTTACCTTAAGTCACGTATTCATTGGCGACTTTCAGATCGCGTTGAAAAGGGTCATTGAAATTTGGATTGACGGTAGAGGCGAAAAAAGGCGGAAATGTCATTTTGCTTTGTTCGATTGCCAAGGGGGTACTTTGATTTTCGTGCTTTCAAAATGGCCACCGATGTCAATGATTGTGACTTATGAGATCCGTTACCTTGGGCGCAGCTGTTTATTACGTCTGAGAAGTATTTAACGAGCTGGCGACGTTTGTGCCTCGACGAGAGACTGCTGCGTTCCATTTCGGCGAACAATTTGTCAAAGTAACAGTCGATTAGCACTTCCATTGCTGATTTATTTATTTTTTCGTCTTTGTTCCTCCCTTACTTTTTCTCGCTGTCGTCGTCGCGTGGGGTTTAAGGATTTTCGGGCTCTACTTCACTTTGGGACTTTTTCCTCTCGCGAACCAACCTCTTGCCGATCGCTACGTTTCTGGATGACTTTTAAGCTGACGAGACAACGAGTACAGAACGAGGGATGCTTAACTCGATTAGCCATTAAGCGAGTACGCGAAAGGCTTCTTCGAGGTGTAGCTTCCTCGGGGTGCACCTTTGCATCTTTGGATATTCGCGTTTATTTTTGTCCCCATTCAATGTGAGGTTATGCTGTCGTTGATCGATTGTTTTTTTTTATGCATTCACTTTAAGAATATTACTATATATACCGAATTATAATTTAATAATTGAAAAATTTTGTATCGTTACACGCAAATACTGTTAAATCACAAAATATATATTATTAATCGGATAATTGTGATATTCGGTAACGTTACGTTAATTATTAAAAAAAAAGATATTACGCTATAAACAGTAACAAGGAACTTTCAAGCGATAATTAATCATTCCCATAAACTTAATTAATCAAGTATTAAGAATTTGAATTAAACGATACAAAATTAAGATATAAATTATCTGTTCGGACACTTTGTCGCATGACTTATTTTTTAATGATAACTGTAACGGGTGTCACAAAATTTAATTCTAACGACATAAACATTAATTAGTACTTAAGACACTTTAATAGCCAAGATTTCAATGTCAATTACAAATGCTGTTTAGTTTTTACAAAAACTCTACTTCAAATTGTCTTGTATTATTTTCATATCTCTGTATCTTCCAGGTACCTGTGTATGCCTGAAAATCAAGATCCGCAATTTCTTCTCGAATATCGTGGTCCAGTCACCATGAAGGGTAAATCGGAACCCATGAACGTGTGGTTCCTCTCCAGAGAGCGGGAGCTGCAGTCGTAATCAAATAACGAGAAACGATGCTCTAGAGTAGCAACAGTATAAAGAAATAGCAAAAAGTAAAAGAACTTTTCACAATAGCAATAACATCGAGATCCTACATAGGGTAAAAAGCGTGTAACAATACAATAAAGCTCCCGTACAATCATAAAGAATTGAATGATCCTCAGGGATAAAACGAACAAAAGATAAAACATAAACGGATTGCGTACTGTTATCGTTGAACTTTCGGCCATTTTTATTTTGATTACCAATAGAACAAAACAAGAGATTAAACTATCAGGCTGTTATCTATATAAGGCACGTGGTACCAATTGCAACTGTGAGATTGGTTAAATATAAAAATAATTAATAATCAATTAAAACAATATTGTTCCACGTTAGAAATATCATTAGTTTCATATAATACTTTAATAAGATATGTTTATTTCTATTACGTCATTCCGTTACGTCACTCTAATTAAGACGTGTCGTATTTTTTTTTTAATTATAAAAGCAAATAATCGAACGAGAGAGGGGAGTAACATTTAAAGATTTGAGATTACAGGCTCAAGTATTTTTAAAACTGTTGTACTCTAACTATATAGATTGTTATTAATTATTAATAATTTTTAATTATCATGTTAAAATATAATTATCGTACACGGACCTATAGTACCTATATATAGTAGTGTAGTAGGAATAAAAGATTTTTAGGACAGAAGGTCGAGGACCTTCGCTCCCGACGAAAATAGCTGCAGAATTACTTATCAAAGTGAAACAGGACGTAGTGTCTTGGCGTATAGCGAGATGAACGATAAAAAGATGAGAAAAAAAAAGAGAGAAGCTGTAGGAGTCAAATAAAGAAGCAAAACAAGATACCCGATGGAATGCACATGGCTGGGGGGTGTAACGGAACCTGTTCTAGTCCTCTTCGTCCCGTGCACGTCCCAAGGTCAGCATAATGACTATTATATAGCAACTGCGTCGAATGATCCAGTACCGAGAAAAATTTCATTCCAAAATTTCATCCCGATCGCTATAGTCGTTATGGTAAAAAAATCAAAATATATTTCCAGCTTAGAAAAGAACTTGACCCAACGAATCAGAGAAAAGTCGTCGCGACGCCACGATCATACTTATAGGCGTCCATTACGTTTATACCTACTTGAACGTAGAAACGTCGATATTATCAAACGATCGATACGATACAGTCATTTGATAATGTTTTATCCTGTATTCGGTATCTATAGGGTGTACTTTTATTATACGAAAACTTACCATAGTGGCAAGTCTGATTATAATTTGAGGGAGCAGCCACGATTTCTTGGTAACGATGAAATTATTTTTGACACCTTATATAGTTTTCAAACCTAAGAATCCTACAGTGTCACGTGGTAAAATCGAAAGAAAGAAATTTTGTATAAAATCGGTTAGATAAGACACTGGTAACATACTATAGATAAAGGGATGGATCATTAATATTTGTAATACGTTGGTAGCAATGGGATTGATGTTCGTATAGGGTGTGTCGAAAGTTTAGTAGCGAGAAGGATGGGGGACCTTGATTAATTATCTCTCATCTCCTATCGACCGAATCCATATATGTAGCAAAGGTTTAATTTTCAAGCTGATGGAAGAAAACCTTCGGGCATGAGAAGTTTTTGGTTTTGAATACGGTGTAGAAATTGTATTAAATTCTGTCGCTGTTTGAGAATTACCATATATACTAGAACGAACGCTTTGGTATTCGTATATGGAATTTATTGTTCGTGCACGTGCGTACCAAAGAGCTCGATATGATAAATAGTACAGTACCAATGAAAATCTGTCATTTATCAGAGAGTCTGAGGAGTCAGATTACAGAGCGGTACAGTGTATAATTAATCATTATAATTGAAGGAGGTTTCATTCGAATTGGTGCAACGAGTACGAATGATAATTGTGTCATACGTAATTGAACCAGCTTCGAAATAAGATCCTGTAACGAGAAATGCAATAAAGCGCTGTAGTCTGGGTCCAGCGAGTATACCTACTTAACGTCCTCCATAGGTATGCCGTAGGTCACTGGGATATGCATACCTGAGAGGGAGTGGCATTATGTTAATTTGATTTCGTACCTAGCTGTCCTTGATAACGGTTTACATTTACCCGAATCCATAGGAAGGAACAAAGTGTCCTGCATATTGTTGGCCGTCCTCTTTGTAAGATAATCATAATATTTCAGCGATACGAAATCAAAAGTATTAGATGAATTTTTGGTGAGATTTTTGGAAAAAATAAAAATAGACTACAATGCCAATTCAATAGAATAAATTTAACAGTCGACGGATACCAGACGTGACGACGATAGCTGAAAGAAGCACTTACGGATTATCGTGACACTGTAAAATTCCGGAATTCCAGGTGACGCATCTTGTAAAAGGTCACGAGGTGAGGTGGTCCACCTTTCGGGTCCCACGAAGTTAATAAAAGTGGGGCGAGCCGAGTCCGTGTGGAGACGACCCACGCAACGGGCCCGATAGGCCCAGGTGGGGCCAGCGAGTGTATTGGGTCCCGGCTGGGCCAGGAAAGTTTCGGCAGGTGTAATAAAGCCTGCTACAGCCAGGCTCTCTACCTACCTGACTATGGACGACAGTGAACGGTAAGGAACAGGTATTTAAATGAGAAACCGGATAGTCGATCCTACCTGACTCGGTAGAGGACGCCACGACCACCTCCTGAGGTCTCAACCAGTCCCAGTCTATAGGAGACTCGAGACTCGTTGCCGTCCCAGTCACCATTCCTGTCTACCTCCGTACCTCCTTCGGCGTCTCACCTCCCAGACTCCGGACCCTGAAGAGAGTCTACGGTCCCCACCCGGGCAACAGCCGCGTGAGTGAGTGTCAGCACCACTCAGTACAGTTAGTGACGGCCCGTGCCGAACGATCCGCGGCTGTCTTGGAGTTTACTATGCGGTAGTCCCAACACGAGTTTTTCGTGCGATCATCGTTTTGGTGTAATTGTTATTATTGTTCTTCGTAAGTGGTGCAATTCGAATGGATTAGGCAAACTTATATAATGGATATAAGCACAATGGATTTCGTCGCTGAATCTCCCACGTATTTCGTAACGGTTCTTTTTTAAGTCATTCGAAAACCTGACCACCATAACTTTCTTAAGGTACCTCCGAGCCCTTTATCTTGACTGTTCACTTCGAGTCCAACGCGATCTTGGATTGTTTGTTCGCGGTAAGAAGCGTGACCGGCTTCTCATTAATGTAGAAAGCATGTAGGATTTCCGGGAGGTATACACAGCCAGGTACCAGGGTCTTATGTGAAGGCGATGTGTACATAGTCTGAATTGGTGCGAGTAGGCTGAGATATTTGAGAATTACGAGAAGAGGAAGAGTAAATAAAATGATTTAATCATAACAAGAGTGCTGAGAAGGTAAAGAAGAAATTAGATCGGTGATAATATGGTGGTGAAATAAAATCGCGTTTCTTCGTAGACACAGAATGGAATCTTGACTTGTTAGACACAGCTGATGCACCACGTTGATGCACTCCCACGATGCATTATTAACCTCTCTTATTTCCATCCAAGTAACTGTATCGATAATTTGACGTTCGGTAGCTGCACTCGGGTGCACTGATGTTGTTGGTCGAAGGGCTCGAAGGAGTCCTACGAGCGAGAAATCGCTCGAGGTCGCGTAACATTACTTGCGAGTATCGAAATGCGATTGCCGATCCCGAGGCGTGTGTGCGAGGACACGATCATTGCCGAAGGAAGACGAATCGCGTAGGTTAGTCCTGGTGCAGAGTCGATCGGAACGATTCGGCGAGGTTCGGAAAGGCGAAGAGCAACGAGAGAAGTCGAAGTAGCGGTTGGAAGATAGCAGGATATACAGTAAGATTGTGGCCACAGTCGATCCAAGTTCGATTCTAGATCTTTCGAGAAATCGGCAAGCACGGTAATCGTTGATCGAGGATCGAGGAGTATTCGGCGACGAAATCCGTGCGGAAGTGACGGGATGTTAAGTAAAGATCGTTGAGTGTGCTTTGAGATTAATATGGGGGAATGTACCTTCCGAAGGGTGTATTCCAGGAAAGAGTCAACAGCGCCAGCAGCAGCAGCTTCAGCAACGAGGAAGAGCGAGGACCGGCCTCTGTAATCGAGATCGGTCCGGCGCCCAAACGAATCGGAAGCGGACGACTGGAGACGTCAGGTGACGAGACGCCGAGTCTCAAATCGAAACTAGAGCCGAATGTTTAAATGGATGAAGTAACCACGATGACCGTCCCACCACCACTGCAGGCTGGGAAGAGTCCGAGCCAAGGTGCTCGGCAGACTGTGTCAATCCGGGCAGTTTCCCCACCTTCAGCGCCCTCGGAGGCCGGAGCAACGGTATTCGTTGGAATTAGCGCTCCTGCAGATCCAGCCTCAACCTGGAGGATCCCGGAAGTGCAATCGTCGAATGGCTACGAGGCGCAGAGCAGCCAGGCGGCTCACGTAGTGAAGATCAAGATAAATCCGGACGAGAACGGAAAGGTGATATCGACTGTGCGTCTTACCCTAGACGAAGGTACCAGGAACGATAACAATAACGATATCAGTAACGAAAGTTTGACCACGAGGGACGGTTGTGTGGTGGTGAGTGCGACGAATGTGGCGAACAGCGAGCGAAGTAGTGAGGGCTGTGTGCGTATAAGTGTCGGTAGTAACGAGATCGAGCACCATCGCGAAGACATGGTCCAGCGTGGTACCGCCGAGACGCTGAACTCATCATTGAACAGATCGAACGCTTGTTTCTATTACGGATCCTTCCAGAACCCACTGAGCGCCATGGTCATGTCCAGCGGCCAGTGCTCGCCCAGCGACACCCTGGACAGTGGCACCTGCAGCGACCTGGACGGTACTCCGCCGCCTCTGCCCAAGAAGAAGAGTGCGAGTACCGTTATACTTGGGACTGGACAGCACAATCGTACCGGAAGCCTTACGAGCAGCGGGGCGGAAGTTGACAGTGATGACAACGAGAGCAACATCAGCTGCGACTCCTTGAACAGCGGGGAATTAGGAATTCCAAGCAACCTCGACCACGTAGCCGACAAGGACGCTCATCAAGGATTCCACCCCGTCTCGAGGGATCAGATCAGCGGATCCAAGGAGCCAGAGCCTGCGGATGACGTTCGAGAGGTATCTACCAACCTGGAATGCGTAACCCTTAATGGTAGAAGTGCTGGCTACTCATCCGCAGAGATAGATTCGAATTCCTGCTCCACGAGAGGCTCGCCCAGTGTCTCGCCGTCACCTTCGGGTACCTCGTCCTTGTCGAAGGCCTCGACGACTCCCAGGGTCAGGAGTCCCGACCTCATTGAGAACAAAAGACTATCGCCCGTCGTCAAGGAATGCACGTACGAGGAACGTAAACGGGAACAGGAGAGACTGGAGAAGGAATACGCGGCTGCTGATTTTTATGCGAATTATAATCGCACCAATGGAAACAAGTACCTATACGACGACGATCGGTTTTACAAGTTTCATCTGAACGAGCATCGCCGGGACGACGAGGACAAGCCTAAGGAACCGGGCCTCGAGGAGAAAGAGGATGGCGAATACTTTGCTGGATATCAGATCCTCGACCGAGAAGCCATACGTAGTGCCAAGGGAACCGTACGTGGTGTTAAGAACAGAGTACGAGCCGGAATAGCAACTTTCCTCCAGAAACCATCCTCCAAGGTTCGTATATTTTTAGTACGTGCTGTTTTATCGAAAAAAAAAAAAAAAAAAACGAACAATTTTTGTGAGCGTGCATTTTTATACAATCGCTATTGTCTCTTTGAGGATGGACAAGTGTACCTGAGATATACGTATAGGTATACGTACGTGTAGAATATAGTGCTGACTTTCATAAAGGACGTGATAATTATGCGAAGCAGGCTGGGTACCCTATGCTGGTACCTAGAACTGTCTACCTGCAAGAATTCTCAATGAAACTCTAATTAATCGAAAACTGCATGCTCTTTGCATTCTAAGTGCATTCTAATTGCATTTCACATTATTCACGTGTGACGTAGTGCTGAGTCCTTGCTGCAGGAAATTGTGCAGATTTTTTTTTTTTCATTCGTTCATTCATATCGTTCGTGGTGCTTTTCGTTAATTTTTTTAGGAATTTTACATTTTTCTTTGATCATGCAATCAAGCTGCTATTTTCTGCTCGCTTATCTTATTGGCGATTAACTTGGAGGTTTATCCGAAGAAAGTTTACCTGTGCGTACGACCTAGGTACTCAGCTGCCATATGACGCGTAATGGGTACAGTTAGAATGGCTCGTTCATTGGTCGCTTCCTGGGGAGTGCTTAGGGTCATCGTTATCGAGCGGCCAATCACGCAAGCGTATCTCAATATGTCCTTGTGGAAGATTTCCGGTGTTGCTATGCGAACAGGTATACCGATCGTCTCTTCGCAGCGGATCGGTCTAACGGTAGAACCGATACGCACGATAAGTCCAAGTAAGCGGGACACGCATATAGAATCTATACTCCGTTCGACGTATCTTGGAATTTGAGATTATAGAATTCGCTTTATATAATTCCCTATCAGATATGGCTTACGATGAAAATCGGTAAAAGACTTGAGGTCAATATTCAAAATTTACTATCAGCATCGGCCAGGTTCTTTGGATAGACCTATATGTGATTGACTGGTGATAATAACAGATAAAAGTTCAAAGATGAATTTGTGATTGAAAAAAAAATGTTAATTCAGCGACCTCACTGTATTTATTACAGCACTTTGTCCTAACCTACATTTATCGCACAGATGGTATAGAAAATGATTTTTGAATTATCGCTTTCTTTTTTGATGGTTATGTCCGAGATAATAATACCGGCGTCGGCGTCGTCAGTAACGTCGACTGAACGTCGAGCGGTAAACTGAACTTGATTTCATGTAGAAAGTTAAACAGTACTTTGCCAGTCGAGCCTAAATTCGTAAATGACGTCTCGTGTGAAGTACTGCGTAACCTGCTCTACATATTGTCCTTTTCCTCTCCCCTTCTATCCTGAGATAACATCATTGAGTCAGTAGGATAAATCCGTGACATTTTGATTCAGCCATTTTTTTTTTTGCAAAATTTTATATTTCACATACTGATTTTTTTTTTTAAATTAACGTCCACGCAAATTTGCACAATCATTCGCAATATTGCGATCTCTAATCTCCTAGTCTCTGGACCATTTTACCGTTCGCAATCTCACGCGTGAGGAAGCTGCATCTGCCGACTCTCGATTCCAGGCAAAGTTCCATTCTGCAGGATGTGTAATGACGATGCATTCCTTTTTTCACGTAATCTTCGCACACACATTAATCTTCCTCTATATCCATTTCACATATGGCATACATTGTGTGTTCTATCTGTATCGGATAATAAAATTTAATCAATGTGCATTGGTCATTTCATAAAATCACGAATTATTTAAAAAAATATGAAAATCAACGTAAACGGTCTTTGTCATTGATTATACTTATTTCATATATCCATGATCGATAGGTGTCACTGATTAACGGAAACGGGTTAATGGCAAAAATTAATTAAGTCATTTGATTAATTATATCCCATTAACTAGAGCCCGATATATGTATATAGGTTGTCCTTACTTAATGCTAATGGCTCCAATCGAATTCCTTCGCATGACATTATCGAATATTCTCCATATGATATATAATCGTAATTAACGGAGAGAAAGTGGTAATTTTATGTATATAAGTACCCAGTGTCAGGGAAACTCATAAAATATCGAATTTAATTAATTAAATGGAGCGCGTCGCTTTCTTAGCCTCCGAACACGAAACGTCCTCGTATATCATTAGCATGCGTGACACGTTTCTATACCATTGTAATTTCGACATTACTACGTCTTAGATTATCGTTTCTGTATAAACGTCCATTTATCGTGACCGTTCGTGTAACTGCAGTGTAATTTCCTGTATCTTTGGCTGCAGCTCAGGAAGGAAGGAAAATTGCGGACACCGCGTAACCATTACGTTTTAACGACACGTTGCATTTTGTAAACGTACGTAGAATGTAAAATCGCCGTGGCGATATAATTGCATAAATATTAATAAGGATCGAGTATCTTGTTAATATGGTAAAAACAACGAGAAAAAAATTGCTAATGAATAAAATAAATTAGACACGTTATACGTGTATGAGTATACAAATAATGTATATAGGTATACCTGTATAGGTAGTCCTGGGTATAGAAAAAATTATGTTTACCTCATGGAAGGTATGCAGTCGTATACCGGCATTTATGGATAATTGCATAAGGTTCAATTAAATCGTTAATTTTTTTATTGGTTTAATAATTGCGGGTCTGTGAGAATACACCGATCCTTCTAGAAACGATCTTTTGGAGTGGATGCTGGATATAGGACACGGATAGGTTTCTATTGGAGATTCTTTGTAAATTGTACTATGGCTCTTGGTCGACCTTGGAAATAGTGAAAATAGAAAAAAGTTGAATTTACGGAAATAAAATAGGTGAATCCTGGAATCGGGTAAAGTGAATAACGTTGCTTTATGTGTATCCGTGCGGACAGGCCTGGACCAACGGTTTGTACGGAATCATCTGGTTGGGTCGAATTGGGTTAGGTTGGGTTTAACCACGCTGGACAAAAAATGCAAATTATGCTGTGCTTGAAAACTCGTAAGTCGAGTCGTAAAACTGTGTTGAGAATCGACAAGATGCAACTTAGTGCAGGATAATTATGTTGCATTAAGTCGGGTTTTCTTCTCGTGCCACTGCGTGTAATATAACACGTAAAATTGTATACGGAAGAACTTGGAGAATGCAAGGAGTGGTGAACGAGTGATGGATTTTACTAGATTTTCTATTTTTAACGAAAAAAAATAAAATAATATCTTAGATATACAATAATTCAATATTTGTATAGTTACTCGATTGTTATGCTTATGTTTTAATATTTACTTACTTGATTATTTTCACGAACCACATTTGCTGTTTTTTTTTTTATTTTTGTGTGTCTTTCATTTGGAGAAAGCATGCAGTGAGTGGAAAGCACATATTTTCGACATAGCGTATAAGAGCATGCGAGAAAATTACAGTTCGCTGCTCCGTCGATACAAAAAAAATAGATTTTTTTTCTCCATGGATCTCGGGACGAGCAGGTCGTTCAGTGACGTCCTAGGAATTTAGTACACCCGAATTATCAATCGGTTCCGTAAAATTGTGAAAGTGTAAAATAGCACGACTTTAATCATAAAAGCCACGTTCCTCGTAAACAGCTGTTATCCGGTTACAAGTGTAAAATTCCAAAGTAATGTAACGCCTTAGCGACAGATAATAAGACTCCTTAGGCCGTAGGATTTACGTAAAGTAAACAGTGCGCGCGCATCCAATGGGTTTAGGTACAGTTTATGTTAACTTCGAAGAGTTTATTACCGACCGATGGTAACTGCACCAGTCCAGCATTGAGTAACCGTGCCACAAGCAGTTTATTATCAGTTGCGATTAACGTGACGACATTTGATAACACGGGAGCCAAGATAACACATATTTGTCGAATAATACGAATTATCATTCGATTCGTGAACCAATCGACAGCCAAGAAGACCAACTTTCGAATATCGAACGCGTTCGACGAATGGCAATTAATATAACGTTTTCTCATTGCTCGAGCAGGAAATCATTCGGCACGAGTGTCATTGGCTGATTCCTGGATCAGTGGCGATGACGAGAATCATTATGCGAATCAGGAAGTTCGAGAAACTCTATCTTTGAACGTTGCGAACGTTGCTGTTGGTTAGGCTGGGTTACGTTAGAAAGGACGGAGAATGGGTAGGAGTTGGTATTCTTGGAGAAATAAAATACATAAAATTCCTTTTTTCTCTAGTAATGAAACCATTGTTTTCCTACTGTATTATAGTTTGCTGTTCTTTAGGCTCTAATGGTGAAACTAATAAATTTTCTTGGGCCTAGCCTGACGTATCTCGTCCTATCTTGTATCTTATTTCAAAGGTGCTGGACCATCAACGCAATATAAACTAAGGCACATAAACGGTTTTAGGTTCGGTGCGAAACTACCGTAATAAAATGACAGTAAATTCTCTACTGAAATATTAATTACGTCGTTCGATTATCCTTGGTAGACTTTTATTTTAGAGGGGGACTATTTTACACGTGCTATATTATTAAACCAACATATCGTTCAGTACGGTGCTTTATATTTAAATTTTAAGCATCGATTGAAATTTATATTAATCTAAAATCGATTCGATACTCATTCATGGTTCGATAACTTGATAATTTTAGACTCAATAAGTAATCCTTACTCTACTACGTATGCTACGTATCTTACCTGTTAATTTAATCCGACGATCCATCTACCAATTTCACTCCATAGTTTCGTCTGATCAATTGAGTTATTTGATATCAGCCAAAATTTGACCCAGCTACTATTTCGCATACGTGACATCTGCGAACGTTAATTTAAAACTATAATTTATATACAAGACAGTAAGCTTTGGACTTTCTTTTTCTCCTGAGTGTTACCAACCTATTAGCATGTTTACTCCAAAGCGGCTATTACCCCTGTAACCATATCCCAAGATAAATGCAAACATACAGAACCATTAGCTGTCAATAGCCGGAACGTGTAAGACGACCCAGATTTTTCATAGCAAACGTTGAACCTGTTTCCAAGAAACATACAAG